GCTGTTTACCTTCCCACGGGAGTGGTACCTATTTATCTACTTGCACTTTTTGGCGTGCTTTCGAACTGCTAGGTTGGCAGGAGCTGGGACTGAACAACGGGAGCTCACTCCACGATTGCAGGGATACGAATCGCTGACCTTCTGATCAGCAAGCTGAAGAGGCTCAGTGGTTTAGACCTGCGTCCACTAATTAGCACCACTAATGAGATGCTTCATTAGTGTCTCCTTAAGGGCCACGTCCTATCCCACCATGGCTCTAAAACTGGTTTCCATTATTACTGACTTTCACAAGGATTAAATGAGAAACATTCTTCTTTCCCCAGGCATTTGGTGACCGAAGGATACTGTTCCTGGCACCCATCACTGGATGGAAGAATATTTTTTAACTGTAACTGTCTTTAAGATGTTCTTCACTGTAACTGCTTTTGGAGTTTTGTTTTTTAATAAATAACTGCTTTAAAATGTTTTTAAATTGTGCATCTGTTTGCCACCCTGGGCTCCTCGGGGAGGACGGGCAGGATATAGACACCATCAACAAAAAAACAAACAACAGGTTATATCAAACCTTTTTAGAAGATGCATGATGCCTGCCTGTTTGATGTGTCCTGCTAACCCTCCTCCACCAAATAAAACAGAGGCAGGTATCAAAAGCCTCAAATTATCCTGGGGCTCTTCCTGCTTTCCACATGCTTCAGCCTAATCCATTTGTGTGAACAAATCTAAGATTTCAGAGTGTTAGAGGGCTGTTATTGAAGGATAATGTGGTGTATCTCAACAAGCCCTCTCTTGACAACTGTGGCACCCAGAGGGCTTTGCAGACAGGATTGGTGCAGTGTGGGGCATATCTGCACAACAGGGATTTTCAAAAACAGAGATTGTAGGACTTCTGCAATACCGTTGGGAGAAAAGGACAGTCTGCGTACGGTAAGTAGTTGGGGTCTTTTAAGGCTCCTTTTAAAATTTAGCCCCAAGTGAAGCATTAACGAAGCACGGCAACACACTTTAGAGCAAGCCTGGCTGGCTGAATTAGTTATGTCTGTTTTCCTCCTGTTGTGCCTTCCCAATTATGCTAGCTGTGAACACGCATCCACCAAGTTTGCTCCTTCCTCATTATCTCGATCCACAGGGAATACCTCGGTGTTCTCCCTTCCAAACTGCGTGGGTGTCTGCGAAGTATTTGCATACCGTAAATTACATTTCAAACACCCAACAACAAGGATGTCGTCTTGAGCTGACTGCTGGAAGGAGAAAGCAATGAAAAGCCCATTAGGAAAGGGGCGGGGCGAGGGGATTTTGATTAACGTTCTGATTGTGCCATGTGCTTCGCCAGACCAGACACTCTCATGGTAGCATGCTAGTGCTGTTATGATGGCATGTCGGGAGGCCTGTGGCACGATGCTCCAAGAGGTATGGGTGAGAACATGTCAATTTCAGTTTCTCATTTTTCCAATCTTAAGTTCAAGTTCATCACACTTCCACATCAATTTGCAATTAAAAAAAAAAAAAATTATATCAGGAAAATCTGCCAGCAGCTTGGTCCAAATGTCTCCTAATATACACATCTTTACAAGCAATTTCTCCCCAAATGCACAATTCTGCAAAGCAATTTTCCCTAATACAGTCATACCTCAGGTTGAAGTAGCTTGGGATGAGTATTTTCGGGTTGTGCTCCATGGTGACCCGGAAGTAACGGAGCACGTTACTTCCAGGTTTTGCTGCTCATGCATGTGCAGACGCTCAAAATGACATCACGCGCATGCACAGAAGCAGCGAATCGCGACCCGCACAGACGTGGGTTGCGTTTACTTCAGTATGCAAACAGGGCTCCGGAACGGATCCCGTTCACATCCAGAGGTACCACTGTATCATTTTGCAAAGCATTTTTACCCTAATTTGGTGTCGTTTTCACTCGTGTGTGCATTTTTATTCACTTTGCCCCAGTATATGCATTTTTGGACATGTTACTTGGCTGGGGTGGGGGAAACAGCACTGGGGAAAATTAGGAGAAGTGAAAAATGTGTAAGGTAGCTATTTCAATTCAGGAATGGTTCGAAAACTGCAAATTAGGTAGGTGTGCCTTCCAAGATGAATTTATCTTGCATCGCCCTGCTCCAGCCACATTTGCCAAATGCACTACTGGAATATAGCTCAGCTTAAGCCAAGACAATCCGAATCCAGCAAGAACTTCTTTGGCCCCCAAATATAGGAAACAACAGAACTTAAACCTCCTCTTTTGGTCCAAGAATAAGTGGGCTCAGCTCTTGCAAAGCAAACAATTCAAAATTGCATATTTCTAAGGGCAATGGGGGTTTGGAACCCTTCTGTACCATTCAGTTGGATTTCATCAATTTCCAGTATACAAAACTGTCTTCCGCTTACCAAGTTGCAAAATTTGGCTGTCATGATGCTTTTCTATTTTTTTCCCTACATGACCTGCTATTTATTTGGAAAGTACAACCTCTGTACCAGTCCTATGTTTTGTAACTCTGTTTTTGTTTGTTTGTAGTTTTATTTTATGTTAATGAAGAACAATAACAAAACAAAAGGCACATCCCAATGAAGTACAAGAGCTGATGGTGATGATGATGATGATGATAACAACAATTTATTTATTTATACCCCATCTATTTCTCTAACATGGACTCAAGGCAGCTCACAGCTAAAACAAAACAGCTAAAAACATAAAATTGGGACCAACCATTAAAAAACAATGAAACATTAGATTACCTGAGGTTCAGCAATCCCTTCCATGCCCATCTCCTCTTCTGCAAGTACTCTAAAGGTGTTTTGCAAGACCCAAGGGGCTGCTGGGCAAGTGCTGCAGAAAACTGTAGTGTAACATGCGGTTTAGCCCAAAGGCCAGCCAGGGGAACTATTTAGGGAAGCTTTTAATATTTGATTAATTACTGTATTTTAATATTTTGTTGGAAGCCGCCCAGAGTGGCTGGGGAAACCCAGACAGGTGGGCAGGGTATAAATAATAAATAATAAATTATTATTATTATTACTGTTGTTGTTATTTTGAGGCATCCAAGCCAAATAAAACATTGGTGAATGCATATGAGGTATTTGATTCCTCTTCTCCATTGTGTGCCTGCAGCACATCCAATTTGTCCCCCAGTTTCTCTCTACTGAGATGGACTCAATAAACAGGTCTCAATTCCAAGCAAAACCCAAGCAGTGGCTCCCTTAGATTTAAGACTAAACTCAGGACACAGGTCAGATCAGCAATACTTCTTTATTTTGCAAACAACTTTATTTCTTGACTCAAGTTTACGTTTTTATTACTCAAGTGGGAAAGATGGCAGACATTGAAAGACAAAGGAAATTCATTCCAAAGTGTACAAAAAAGTAATAATAATTCCTAGTGGAAACCACCGATGGAAAAGGAACACCAAAGGGGAGGGTAAATCACAGATAATCAAGTACCAAGACAACTCAAAAGACTGCCGCAAGGAACCCAGTCGAGAGTGAGCTCCATGAAATCCCATGAAACCTAAAACGATTATTGGTGCTGGGTGTAGACAGGACTCTGGATCAGGTGGCAAGAAATCAGTATGCGCTAACATCAGTCCTTTATAGAAAAAATGCTAAAAATGGTTCATGAAGCTACCTGTGCTGGCCTCTCTCCTAACAATTGCTGAATTCTCATTCCCCACCCCTCCTTCTTTTGTAACACAAAAAACTGTCGTCATCCAATGAAGTCAAAGATGGGGAGGCTTACGGAAGGACCTCACGTGGTGCATAGTGAAATTTGCTACAAGATGCAGTAACAGCCTCCAACTCAGCCAGGGAAAACTCTGGGACAGATTTCTTGGGGGGGGGGGGTAGGAATTGAAAGGCCTGATGTACCAGCATAGCTCCAATAGTACAGCATTGGGATACTATACATTAAATGCACTTATTAAACTTCATTTCCTTTTTCTCTTTAGTGTCCCTTCTGTGTGGGACGTTGCTTCCTCTGTCACATTAAGAATTACTATTTTTTTAACTGGCTTTTCCCTTCCTGCACTTTCCTATTCTTTTATTAAATATTGCATCCTTTGTAACTTTCCTTCCTCCAGCCTCCCTTGGCTTGTGCAAACGTTTTCCCCCTTGTCCCTAAACTGCTCTTTCCCAGAAATGGGTATTGTTTTACTCAGTGAAGACACACAGTGACAGGAACGAACAGGTCCAAGGATTCCAGTGGGTCTATTCTGTAGCAAAACGTAGTTGAATGCCACACACAGCGTTCTAAATTGATCTCCTAAACTTCAGGAAGGGGCTGTGGGTCAGTGGTAGAGCTCTTTATGCTGAAGAATCATAAGGAAGTAAGGAGAGCCCTGTTGGATCAGGCCAATGACTGATCTAGTACTGTTCCCAAAATGGCCAACCAAACTTCGCTTCAATCCATGGCATCTCTGGAGGGACTCCAGTCTAAAAACTCTGAAGAGTCCTTCCCAGTCAGTGTAGAAAATACTGCGCTAGCTATTAGGCACATTTTCAAGTTCTCAAGCAGCCATTAAATTGTTTTAAGGCTTGAAATCTGCTGGGAAGTCAGATTTCAGCAGAGGATTGTGGCTGTTGTGGTTAGAGTGTTGGGCTAAGGACTTGGGAGACCAGGATTCACATCCCCAATTGGTCATGAAGCTCATTGGCTAGTCACTGCCTGTCAGCCAAATCTACCTCACAAGGTTGTTGAGGGGATTAAATAAGAAGGGGGGAGAACCATGTAGGACCACCTTGTGCTCCTTGGAGAAAAAGGTGGGGTATAAACACAATTCATTATTATTATTATTAACAGTGCCACAAAAGTATATACAGAGATTCCAAATGTGTGGTGCTCGCAATTTCTTTAAACAAAAAACAATCACATCTTTCAGAGCTATACTTAACGAGCTGCTGTTCCACGCTATGCAAAAATACATTAAAAAAAAATCATGTCTTTTTAAGATAAGAGTCATAGAGTTGGAAAGGGACAAGGGTCATTTAATCCAACCCCCTGCAACAAAGAAATCTTTAGCCCTACATGGGGCTCAAACCAACAGCCCTGAGATTAAGAAACTCACATTCTACCAGCTAAGCTATCCCAGAGCTATGTCTCAAAGCCTCTCTATTATGTGAGGCTCCTGCACTTCAAAGGAGATGGATGTGTGTCAACATCCAGTTTATACCACCACAAACTTATTTTACAGCTGAGCCTATGGTATGCTGACAGTAGGACAAAAGACCATTACTGTTCTTGGCATCCCTTGCTAGCGTCCGGTTTGAAATGAGACCCTATTTCCAATGCATCATCTCTGCAACGCATCTCCAATTTATGTGACTGGGTTCAGGGTTCCTCGGTAGTAAAGTCAGTCTGGAAACTCCAACCCCTTGAAGACCACTCATCTAGTGTAAGAATCACAGAACTGCAGAGTTCGAAGGGACCCAAAGGCTCATCCAAGTCCAACCTCCCGCAATGTAATCATTATAGATCACCTACAAGGGGTCGATTTCAAACACAGCAGACCATCGAGTCACAAGATCAAGATAGCTCTGACCTCCTTCATGCTATTGCTGAGTTTACTTGAAAAGGGAAGAACATCTGTACGTATAATGTTGGCAAACTTCCCACGCTTAGTGAAATGTAACCGTTAGGTGTTTCTTCGTAGAAGGAGAAAAGGTCAAAACAGCAAAAATCAGAAGGGGAAAGCCCACCATTGTCAGCTGTCATAATAATCAGTTACGGAGAAGGCGTGGTGGGAATAGTTTTAAGATTGCTTATCCAAGTCATGCTTGGCCAGTTTGATATTCACTCCAGCCCTAGGAAGACTAAGTTATATGCAGCAAAGATATACCGTAGATTCCGGCATATAAGACAACTTTTAAACCCCAGGAAATCCTCTAAAAAGTCAGGGGTCGTCTTATACGCCCAGTCGCCTAATACACCAGAATCTACGGTATATATATATATTTGGTTCAAACGGTAAGGATGTTTGCATCTGAGAAATGTGAAGCTTTGCAATTTCTCGACTAGGTTTGCATATGCAGAATTTGGGGAGGTGCGACCCATGTCGGCACAACAGGGCTGTGGACTGTTGCAATCCCCCATCCTAGGCTGCTGAAAAGAGCTTTGGCGGAGCAGGTGGGTTAAAAAACCCCATTGCCCCTTATGCTAGTTTTTAGAACCACAGTTCAATACTTAGTGGGTGGTGAGAGCCTCTGTCTAATGGTAGAGCCGGCCCGTACTTTTGCTTCCCGCCATAGCACATATACCATGCAATGTGAGTGCTCAGCATGGATGCTTGCATATGTGGCAGCCCAAATCGCACTATTTATTTCCCAGGATGGGGGGAAAAGAAGAACAAGGGGGAATAGTCACTTGACGCTGGATGTTGCAGGTGTGGGCACCCCCCCCCCCCCCGCCGCCCCATGGAGCACTTGTACCATGCATTAAAATTTGATCAGGAGTGAGGAACTGTTTTCAGCCTGGAATAACTGGGCAGAGCAATGAATGCAGACTCCACCTCTAGATTTTAGGCTACCCTCCTGCATCCTTCCACACACACCTGTCTCTATCCTCCATCCAAGCAAGGAGGTGGCATGAACAGAGCTAAGGACACATTCAAGCCAGGCAAAAACACTCAAGGAGGGTGCAGAGCAGGGCCCGTAGGGGTGTGGCTGACTAGGAGGCCTGCAGAGAATCTTGACGGCCAGATAGAGAGGTCCAGAGGGCAGCAATTGGCCCCTGGCTTAGACGCAAGGACAGAAAACAGGCCTGGTCTTCCAGGACAGGGGATGCTGTGGAAATGTCCGAACTGCACCAAAGGTCAAACAGGGCCACGCAAGAAGAGGAAACTTTTGAGCAGGCACACATCTGGGCTTGCACCCTGTGGGAAGCTGTATTTTAGCAGCCTTCATGCAGGGCACCTAATTCTTAAGCAATACCTTCTCCCTACTGTTTTGTTTTTTAATGATGGAATCCACATTGTAACTCACACAAATACAAGACAAGGAGAACCAGATATTTGGCTTTGGAGCCAAAGTTGCATAGCTACACTAAGTCTGCAACTCCTACGGCAGCCCCAATGCCTTTGTCCTCAAGGACTTACAGTTGCACATGGAGATTCCAACCCCCCCCCTTCAAATCTGCCCCAGAGGGCTGGAAGGGGAAACCCAGATTTGGTGGGCACATAGGGAAGTTTCAATGTGCAAATGTAAACCCTTGAACTAATGGAATGGGTTGCTTATCGTTGCATTGGATGCAACCCCCACTTATTGGCAATGATCCAAGCTGGTGGCAAGTGGCCCCCAAATTCCCATAACCCACTGAATGTAAAAAACAAACAAACGCAGGAGGGTTTAACCCTGATCCAGAAGTTTCTCAAGTGCATATGGAGGCACAGGGCCTACGTGGAGCAGGCAGCTCTTCTTGCAGAAAGTGGTCTATCATGGACACTGCCCCTTCCATTAGAATGAATGGGGAATCCTCATCGTGCAAGAGCTGCTACCTCTGCACTGGGGTGCACTAAGGACTTCATCATCTCCACTTGCATTAAAAACACACAAACAGGAAAGTTAAGCAGTATGAACCTTTGTGCGCCTAGATATGTATATATTTTTTTGCTTCCGTGAATGTGTACTAAGTGCTTTGCAGAAACTACTTTAGCCCTCATTTTTACAAATCAACAAGTCTCACACTCTACCCCCATCCCCACTTTTTTTGTTTTGTTTTCTCCTAAAGCATGGAAAAGTATTGAAAGATAAAAATGTTTTTTTTTTCTTTTCTTTTACTATGGCAGTAATACCTGATTCAATTACAAGACACATAAGGGGTTAGAGGGAAGAAACGACTATTTTGCAAAAGGTTAAAGTGGCACATCTCCTCACACAATAAGTGTGCAACATGACTGAGAATTCTGGAACTCTGACCAAAAGCAGATTTCCTAATAAATTAATAAAACAGAACAAAAAAATCTCATATAAAACAAGATCCAAATATTTTTTTAAGCCAATGTTAAAACCTTCAGGAATGATTCTCTCTCTTCATAGATATATATATAGATATATATTTATATTTTCCTGAATTTATTAAAATAAAATTTTCTCTTAGGAAAAAAGAAAGAAGCTAGTTTGGACTCTGATCCTGAGAGAAGTGGTTCTGCTAGTTGCTAGCCTCGTGGAATTGGGTAAGGATTTCATGCAAGACCTCTGGAAATGAAGAGAGGTTTGTAGCAGCAGCATTTGGGGGGCAAGGGTGTGCCCTAAGATAGCGAATGGGCAAGACATCGTTGTTGCCCCACCTTACCCACTTCGGTTGCATAACCACCATATAATGAAGGTCACAAAGGAACCTCTCAGCAGTCCTTCCTTGCCACAATATCTTTCATCCAAACTAGAAACAGAGCTCTGAAAACAGCCCTGTTCGTCCCCCTTCCCTGGTAATGTGCAGTAATGGAAATGCATGATGTGATTGCGTAACACTGCAGGGTTCCCCAATTACGCACTGGGTGGCCAAGTGTTGGAAACAGTCAGAAGCTGTGTCAAGGAACAGGTGGGCTTTCAGAAACTTATCCAGTGGGGAGGTAGCAGTTCTGTGGTCCCCCAAAAGACCCAAGACAGCAAATCAGGGGACCGAAGCAGGAGAGTAGGCCGGGAAATGTCTCCTGACAAGAGCTTGCTGGATCAGGCCTGTGACCCATCTAAACCAGCACCTTGTTCTTGTGGTGGCCAACCAGATGACTATGGGAGACCAGAATAAGAGTACTCTCCCTTCCTGTGGCTTCCAGCAACTGGCCTTCAGAAGCGTTCCTACCTCCGACAACCAAGATGTTCAGGCTGGGGAACAAGCTCTGAAGCCGACGAACAGCCCGCGTGATGACAGAAGAGTTTGGATTTGATATCCCGCTTTATCACTACCCTTAGGAGTAGTGGGGCTGAGAGACTTCAAAGAAGTGTGACTAGCCCAAGGTCACCCAGCAACTGCATGTGGAGGAGCGGAGACGCAAACCCGGTTCCCCAGATTACAAGTCTATTGCTCTTAACCACTACACCACACTGGCTCTCAGAAGGCTAATTCAAGCAGCTACTGCATCCCAGGTGGCGCCAGTGAACCACTGAGTTGTGTATGGGAAAGAGGGGCACTGGCGAGGGAAGTGGCATGCTGCAGCCCAAGTCCTGGGACTCCCACTTCGTGACCTGCCCCTTTCCCAGCGCAGTGGGGGCCAGCGATATGGGGAAAGGGATGGTAGAGGTCACACGCCTTTCCAATATGACACATTACGAGGGGGACCTGAATACGGTGCTTCCATGTCAGTGGCAGCCAAACGTTTGCCATTCTTCACAACCAACTCTATGGTATCATGTCAAAGCTGGAAGGAGCATTAAGCGGTTTCTCTCTGACTACGCACAACTTCTCAGAGGATCAGAGTCAAAGTCAACAAGGACGAGGGATGGGGGAGAGAATTATCTCACAGACTTAAAAGCATGCCCAGCAAGCACAGCCTTGTAAGACTAAATTAAAGGTTGGAAATGGGAGGGAAACAAAGAAACAGAAATTGTTACTAAATCAACCTGGTTTGAAAGTTCACAGCTGTGTACTACAAAGTGTAATAATTATTTCTTCTTCTTTTTTTCCGACCATACAAAAATAACATATTGCAACTCAAAAGTGCAGATATATATATATGTATATATACTGTATATTGTTTTAAAATAAACAGTTGACTGTGTTTTTTCTCCTTTTTTATCAAATAAAATATTTACACCATTTTGTTTTCCAGAGTCAGAAACGCTCTTCATGCTATCACCATGGGGACATCGTCTGAAAAGCCTGTGATCATCGGCGCTTCGTCGTCCTCGTCTCCTGGGAATGAAACACATCCGTTTCAGAAAGAAATCAGAGAACTGGGAGATTACACCAAAGGTCGCCCAGCCTAACACTTGGTCAACGTGAGGAATCCTCTGCTTCGGGATCCCAGGAGAGCTGGCCAACATAGTCCTTTACTTTCCGAACCTGCCTGTTCAACAGTTGTACCAACGGGAAATTCCTCCTAATGTTTAATCTAACATTTCCCATTGCATATGTTTTGGTCTCTCTGGGCTGTATCCAACG